TGGGATTAAAGGTGCGTGCCACCTTCCCTATTTAGACTGAAAATTTTAAGTCTATTGGTCTTTTGGAGTTTGTGTGCTGGCAAGCACAGCTATTGTGAGTTCAAGTATAAAAGAAGTCATGCAGACACAGCCTTTCACAGTCCTACTCCCCATCTTTTGGCTCTTAACTTTCTTTCCACCTCATATTCCAAGATGTTCCTTGAACATTGTGTGTGTGGCAGGGGTGGGGGGGTATTAGCATAGATTTTCCATCGATGACTGAGTCCTCACAGTCACTTTTTCTCAGCATTTTGAAGAGTTATAAATCTCTGCACTAACCTCTACACTCTGCAATAAGCTTCCCTGAACTTGCATGAGAACAGCACAAGTCTGTGGATCTAAGCATAAATATTTAGAAGTGAGCTTGATCGCATGACCATTTAGTAAATCAACATTGATAGGTTCTCCCCTAGGGCCCATAGCTTTTCTAGTCATGGGTTTTGACTGACTAGGTTTACAGTCCCCAGGCATGAATCCCACCTGCGGATCAGGTCTAAAATCCTATCAAGAGAGCAGATGTTTACTCTCATAAACTGTCTTTCCACTTTTGCACCTGTGGGCACATTTTGCCTGGCAGGTCACTATTGTAACATGCAGAGTCCAGCATTGAGTAAGACTACTGATGCCCCCTCCCCAGTGTAGGACTTTCCAGCACTATAAAAGCTGGTCAGCAAGGAGTGTTTCCTGTTCAATTCAAGATCCATTTCTCTATATATTGCAACCAAAGTGTGTAGAATCGTCCTCAGTAGACTCTTACTGTCTAGTTATGATGGGCACCCAAGAGCTATGGCAATCACCTATGTTGTTTTGAGTGCCTCTGGGACCCTCCTGACCAGAAATTCATAGAAAGGTAATCTATGCTTGGCACTGAAATTTTCATTAAAAAAAAAAAAAGAAAAAAAAAACCTCATGTTTTCTAAGAGAAACATTGTTTGCCTATGTGGGATATCAGTGTTCAAGCTCCTTTTAAAAACGCTTCAAAACACCGTATATGCAGGTATGAAATTCTCAATAAATTATTTTTTAAAATGCTTTAATTAGCTTACTAATGGGTAAAATTTCATAAGGCTTCTTTATACTTCCTTAGTATAAGTTCACCTACCCCCTACTTTTCCTTTCCCACAGTCCTCGGCACTCATCCCCACTTAAATCCTTAGCTCCTGGTACGCCCCCTGTTCTTTCATATCACATGTGTTCTGCTGTGCCATTTGTTGTGTGTTTTACCTGGGTTGCGAGATCATGGGTTCCGATCTGACTTCTTCATGTACTTTGTTTTGGTTACTCCTAGCCTGTCCTCTCATTTGTCCATCCACATTATTCTTATTTGAATATTTCTGCCTCTATTATTCCCCATCTCTAGTTTCATCTCACGTGTAATCTACTGCCCCCCCCCCCAAGTCCCGTGTCCTGGTCCATCACCAGTTTCCTAGCCCCAACGTGTGCTTAAGGCTAAACACAGGAAACTCAAAATTTGACACTATTACCCCTATGTGAGGGAAACATGCAGCATTAGTCTTTGGGGCCTGGGTGACTTCACTGAGCATGTTTTCTTTTCTAGTTCTGTCCATTTGCTTGTAAGTTTCATTCTTTTATTTTCTTTAGTAATATTCCATTGTCTATATGTACCACATTTTCTTATCCATTTGTCAGTCGATGGATAGCTAAGTTGATTCCATTTCTTAGCTATTGTGAACAGAGTGCCAATGAATATGGATGTGCAAGTATTTCTATAGTACTTTAGGTATGTATGCCCAGGAATGGTATAGCTAGGTCACACAGAAATTTTTATTTCCTCTTTTGAGAATTTTCTGTCCAGCACCTTAGCCAGTTTTTAACCTGGGCAATTTGTTTTCCTGATGCTTAAATTTGGGGTTCTTTGTATACTCTAACACAAATCCTCTGACAGATTTATAACTGGTAAAGATTTTCTCCAAATCTGTTGACTGCCTCATCACCTAATTGATATGTCCTTTGCCCTACAGAAGCTTTTAAGTTTCATGATATCTCATTTGTCAATTGATGATCTTATTGTTTGTAAGCTGAAGTGTGTGTTCCACTTTTCCTCTAGCAATTTTTAGGCATCATGTCTTATGATGAAATCCTTCATCCATTTGCATTTTTTTTTGTGCGGTGAGAGGTAAGAATATAGCTTCATTTTCCTGCATGCTGAAATCTGTATTTCCTACAACCATTTGTTGAAGATGCTGTCTTTTCTCCAAAGTGTATTTTGGCATTTTTGTCAGAAATCATGCAGTTTTAGTTACTTGGATATATACCTATGCTACTGTATTGACTGGTGTATGTATTTTGGTTCCAGTATCATGCTGGTTTTATTATTGTGGCACTGTAGCATAACTTGAAAAGAGGTATGGTGACATTGTCTGTGGTATTCTTTTTGCTCAGGATTGTTTTGGCCATCCTTGGTCTTTTGTACCTCCATATATATTTCTGGATTTTTTTCTATGTCTATGAAAAAGATCCTGGTGTATTCATGGGAGTTGCATAAAATCTATAAATTGCTTTCGACAGAATGAACATTTTCACAGTACTAATTCTTCCAATCTGTGAGCCTGGGAGTTATCTCCATCTTCTGAGGTCTTCCTCAATTTATTCCTTCAGTGCCTTAAAGTTTTCATTGTAGTGCTCTTTCATTTCCTTGCTTAAGTATATTCCCGGGTATTTTCTTATTTTGTGAAAGCACTCATTACAATACTTTTCAGAATGTTAGCTATTGGTATATAAGAAGGTTATTGAGTTTCATGTGTTAATTTTGCATTCTGCCATTTTGTTGAAATTATTTATCAACCATGAATGTTTTTAAGTGGAGTGTTTAGAGTCTCTTACATAAAAAAACAACTAATCTGTAAATAGAGATTTCTTGGCTTCATTTTTTCCCTATTTGGCTGCAAACGCTTTAATTCAAGATGGTGAATATAAATGCACTGCTCAGTCCATGAGAAAAATGAAGCAATCACAATTAAATTCTTGAAGAAACATCTTTGTCATGTATGCAATGCCATACAACATGATCTGGAGCAAAGAAATAAAATTACTGGCTAAATATATCTAGATATATTTTCTCATGAAGTTATTTAAAAGAAAAATGTCATTGCAGATGGTTGCTTATCTATTAATGTAAATGATGCAGATTGCCAAAAATGTATGCTTTCTATCCGTAAGATAACTCATATGCTTGATGATCTAAGAAAACACAGTAAATAATATTTGTTCTTATATCATTTTATGAATATATAGACAAATTATTAATTTTAAGTTATAGGATGAGGAAGTAGGTGATAGTCCCTGTTTCATGATAGTCTCATACACATAGAATACTAATTACTTGCAGACTTTGTCTTTTTTCTTTTTCTTTATTTGAGGTAAGGTCTCACTATGTGCTGTATAGCTTCAGTTGTAAACTTGACACACGTAGGAAGAGGGAACCTCAGTTGGGGAACTTCTTTGGTTGGATTGGTCTTTGGGCATGTCTTGAGTATTGGGTTTTATGGGAGGCTCCAGGCCACTGTGGTGTGAAATCCTTAGGGAGGTGACCCTGGGATGTATAAGAATTCAGACAGGGCACAGGCCAGAAGAGCAAACCAGTAAGCAGTATTCCTTTGTGGTCTCTGCTTCAGGCTCTGCCTTCAGGTTCCTGCCCTGTCAAAGTTCCTGCCTTGGCTTCCCTCAGTGTTGGACTGTCACTTGGAAGCACAAGATGCAATAAGCTTTTTCCTCCCCCAAGTTACTTTGGTCAGTGTTTTGTCACAATGGTAGAAAACAAACCCGGACAGAAGTTGAGAACAGAGAGTGGGGCACTGCTGTGAAGGACAACCAGGTTATTTTGGGGAAGATTGCGAAAGTTTTTGGAGCTTTGGTATGGAGAAGCCACTGAATATTTGGAGCTTAGTGAGCTGCTCTGTGGGAACTTGAAAGATGATGCTTAAAGACGTATAGAGGATGGAGGTTTGGCTCGTGAAGTTTCAGAAGCAAGCAAAAACTCTATCAGAGGAGTTTCTGTAAACTATTTTGGATTAAGAATCTGTAAATTCTGGGCTGGAGAGATGGCTCAGTGGTTAAGAGCACTGGCTGCTACTGCAGAGGACCGAGGTTCAATTCTCAGCACCTACATGGCAGCTAACAGCCATTTGTAACTCCAGTTCCACCGCAATCTGACTCCCTTTTCTGATCTCTGCAGGCATTGCATGACATGGCTTCATTTACATACATGCAGGCAATACTCTCATACACAAAAATAAAAATAATAAATTTTTTTAATAATCTGTGAAATTGAAACTTTTGATTTACTTGGACAAATAATGCTGATTAACCAGACCTGAAAAATCAGTCATAATTAATAATCAACCATCATCCTTGAAGTGATATCTTCTGTGAAGTATTTTCCCAGGGTTAGCACATAGCTCTGTTCCAGAGAGGGGAAAGGCTTCATCTCAAGTGGCAGCCAAATTTGGTAATATGTCAGAGTATCCCATGTGGCACTGGTTTTGGCAGCAGAAAGCTGCAAAATTAAAGGGGTCATGGAGACAGCCTGAGTCTTTGCACCATTTGAGGCCAGAGGAGGCCATTGGTGAACATGCAGTGACAACTCCAGTGACAAGTGTGGGATCATGACCAAGGGCTTGGGAGGTGTGGTGTGGAGCCTGCCTGAGCCTATGAGACAAGCTGTGTTCTAGATGGCAGAGCCAGAGAAGTTGAGCTGCCCAAGCCCTTTGGAGCTCAGAAGATCATGAGCAATTTCCAGATGTCCAACAGTGAGCTACACTGCTGGGCATTATGCCGTGCTGTGTACTTTGTCTTCCTTTGTATCATTTATTAAAATTTGCCTGTAAAACTCATGAAATTCTAAGACCTGGTATAAGTTACCCTGCCTCTGAGATGTTTTCGCTAAGATCTAGTGTTAGGGACACTTGAAGAAGAGGAAAATTTACTGAACGTGAGGAACTGTAGAGTCAATAAAGTCTAATTAATTTCTGAATTCATTCTTATGTGTTGTTTTGTAATTACATTTCTGCCATTTATTTAACTAATATTTATTGAGCACATAATACATACTAAACATTCGTCTAAACACTTGATAGGCGATGGTGAGGTGGATGGCATGGGTAATAAGGCGAAATGGAGTACCTTTAAAAGATTGAGGCAATCTTCTACATGCACCACTATATATGCAGTGACAGCCATTTCCCTTCAGTGTGTGGCATTTTGTTTTCTGAATTATCTGGACTGTCTTTTGCTTATGGGACAGAATGTAAAAGGGGTTTCAGAATGCCATAAAGAGGACCATCTGTTTGTGGGCCACAGGGCCAATCTCATACTGTTTGTGACTGAGTATTAGAGGAACTTCCCATAGTGGACTGACGTGCCCTGGCTAAAAAGGTCACCATGATACTGAGAGAACTCTCCAGGAAACAAGGGTAGTGAGGCTTGGCGACTTAAATTCAACAGGAAGTCAAGGATCAAAGAGTAAACTTCCATCCCAGCGTATGACTACCTTCTGAGGAAAGATGGCTAAGCCAGAGGGGGGTTGGTTGTGGTAGAGACCCATGGCAACAAATTCCACCCGGAAGTGATGGGCAAACATCCCTCAGACGTAGCCAGCCTTGCCTTGTCCTCACAGCTTCATCGGGAGGCAGTGTACAGAGCAAGAAAGCCACTGAGCTCATTGGAGGTTTTTACTTTGTTATTTTTCTCTCTTTCGATCCAGAGGACTCTCATCTTTGCTCAGAGCAGACTATACAATTTAGAAGAAATGGCGGATTTGAAGAACAGGTGTAGATTGACACAGAGGCATCAGGAGGAAAAGACTATGCTTCTTCCTATTATAAATGAAAAGTGGAGACCAAGTGGAAGAAAAGGTAAAATATGAAATGAAAACAGGAGTGATGTAACTACAAATGAAGCTGGACTTCTCTATTAACATTGATTTCTGACCATTGAGCTTGTACTTTGCCATGCTGCAGTTCCACGTCAGTCTATGGCTCTGCCCCATCTCACTCATTTCACAATCCAGGCTGAAGAAGCACTTCCCACCTGGGCTATGGAGATCTTGTTGCAGTCCTTAAAGGTGCCACTTAAATGAAAGGCAGGTCACTACAGCACATCAGTCACTGGCCACCAATGTCTCATGACCAATCCTGTCTTTGTAGAGTAGGAAACACGCTTCCTTCTACAGATTTCTGTGGAAGTCTAAGGAAAAAATATAAGAATTCATATTTTTATTAATGAGAACAAGGAAATCATAAAAGGAAACTTGTAGAATTCAAATCTTGACAGATCAAATCTTTTTTTTTGGCTTCTGTGTATTATTATGGGAAATAGAAAATAGAAACCTTTTTACTCAATGAATTACACAGCATTTTTATGGAAATTAAAGCATGTATTTTAGAGGAATTGCACAAATAGGGCTCTGTCTTCATTGTTCAGTTGGATGACCTCAGAACCATCATGCATGAGCTGTCCAATGACAGTCCTTCTAGACATTCCAAACTCTACTCACAGTAGCCGCTGGACAGTGGTGAGAAAGAATGCGCATTTGCACGCTTGCCAATGAAAATGAGGTTGAGTGGAACAAGGCCCTTGATATCACAGAGGAGTAAGTGATTCACAAAGATCAGGTCTGACTTGCCTTCTCTATAGTGAGTCAGCATTGATCATTCTAACCACAAGAGAGTTTAGAATGCTGTGGCATCACAAAACAGGAAAAAGTGTGTTGCCTTATTCTGGGCATCCAGCACAGTGCTCATTGTCAAAACGAGTTAATTTTAAAATGTTTCATTGTTTCTGTAAATGCTGGGAATTAAGCCCAGTCTTCATTTGCAGGCTAGGAAAACACTCTACCACTTAGCTATACCCCAGACCCTTTAATTGTTCTTAACTGTAGTCTTCAGATAATTAAGATCTATGGAGATTCAGTAATTGATGTGGGTGAGTGTTCTGTGTTTAGAGAATAAATATACTAAATTAATTTAAAATATTATTTATTGGGCTGGAGAGATGGCTCTGTGGTTACTGGCTGCTATTGCAAAGGACCTGCGTTTGATTCCCAGCACCCATATGGCAGCTAACAACTGTCTGTAACTCCAGTTCCAGGGGAATCTGGTGCCCTCTTTTGATTTCCATCGGCATTGCACAACATGGGTGCACTGACACACATGTAGGCAATACATTCATATGCACAAAAATATAAATAATAAATAAAACATTTTAAATATTCTTTATTAACTTACCAAAATGTGTTGTTATTCCACTGGTAGATACTGTCCTTATGTTTGAAAATATTTTAGAGAGCAGTGGCATTATTCAAGATGAGACCCCTGTAGGGGGGAGAGTATCAAGAATTTAGAGATTTGAAAATCCCTAAATACAACACATCTCAAAAATCTAAAATCTACCTCTTTATACTCCTAAAGATTAGATACAAACAGATAATCTATGCACAATTACACTACTGTATGTGATTTTACATATATGTACCCAGTTATAAAAATGTTCAATCCATTCAAACATGTTAAATTACATTGCTATTAAAATAGATTTTAATCCAAATTCTTTACTTTTAAAGCCCTTTGTTAAATTTATTGCTTAATGAATAAGAAATATTTTCATTGATTGGAGTATTTATTAAAACAATTCCACAAATGTTATCCTGGTTTTGAAAAAAGCAGATTGGCTAACTATTGTTAGAGACACTTTGGCATCTTTCATTTTCTTCTTTTAAAATACTGGCAAGATCTAAGTGACATGGGGGCTGGAGAGATGGCTCAGCAGTTAAGAACACTGGGTGCTCTTACAGAGGACCCGGGTTCAGTTCCTAGCACCTACATGATGACTAGCAACCATCTGGAACTCCAGTTCCTAGAGATCCAAATCCCACTTCTGCCCTCATCTGGCATTGCACAACAGGGGTACACTTGCACACATGCAGGCCAAAAACTCATACACAAAAAATAAAAACAAATAAATCAAAAATACAAAATAAATAAGAGATCTAAGTGACATGTAGCATAGTTCTCCTCAGGTAAATGGTACACTTTGGAATAAAATAGATTTCACAATTTGTTTTAATCTGTATTCTTGTTTAAATCAGAGACTAAGTAGGGAAACATCTTTGGAGATCAACTGCTTTCTGGTAAATCGTAAGCCGAAACAATTTGTATTTTATTTCCAGATTACATTATGTTACACACGCACTCCAGTTGCTACACCACGCACCAAGGGGACACATCTGGGAGGGTCCTGGATGTCTCCAGCTTATTGTCACCAACCCTCTGGGTTTTCTCTGACAGCTTCCATGTGGGCTCCAGGGAAGGGCTGAATTGTCAAAGACTGTAAATATGAGCCTTGGGTGAGGCCCAACGCTCCAGATGTGCAGTGTTCATATTTTCACTGTGAATTCAAAGACCTACCCTTCTCTTTGACAGAGATAACAAGTGCTTCAGTAATCAGAAAAGTATGGTCGCTAGAGTGTGGATATCAGAAAACAGCTGTTCCTTCAACCTACTCTGGTGGCATCGTGTAGGAAGCCCCAAGCTTTTCTCTCTGGTACATTTGAGATACTAACTCTGGAAACAATTGCTTTTGCTAAGTTGAAGACTTTGACTCCACCTTCTGCATCTCTCTCTGTGAGAACAAATTCAGCCTCTGACTAGACAAGAAAATGATATGAGGAAGTGACTTACCAAATAAGTAAATGTTTGTCTGACCAGAGCTCCCTCTTTCCGCTGGCTTCCCTCACATCTACAGGCTCAGGCTTAGTGGTGGTAGGAAGTGTTTCAAGTAAAATTCTTGTGGTCATTTTTTCCATTTTCAAGCAGTGGGTCACTCAACGTGCTGGAGAATCAGCCAAACCTTTTGCTGCTCTCGGCATCATTTTATAAGCTAATTCCTTATAAATCATATTTCCTTCTCTGAATGGGGAAACAGACAAAATGCAAAGACTGAAAAAAAACAAATGAAACAAAATATGGACAATTTGAGTAAAGGACTTTGTATCATGACAGGAGCTTGTACAATTATCCCTAGTTCTTTCTTTACACGTAAGTACTTTTATTTCCTCTGAAATATGCATATAAAATTTCCGAATAAGCCAGGCACACACCATTAATCCCAACACTTGGGAGGTAGAGGTGGGCAGATCTCTGTGAGAGTCTAGCCAGGCTGGTCTACATAGTGAGTTCTAGGTCTACATAGTAGCTGTGGCTACTGGGAGACCCTCTCTCAGAAAGAAAAACAACATCCAAATAAAACATGTATTATTAATTAATAGAAGCAATGTATACGCTGATACCTTCCTTTTACTTAGTGTAAAATGTCTTAAATATTTGAAGTGTTTTGCACCACGAATGAGTAATTCTTATTTTTTGTTATTTTTTTATAACTTTTAACAATTTTTAATTTTTAAAAAAACCTTTATTGATTCTTTGAGAATTTCATACAACATATCTTGATCAAATTCGGAATCCCTCCCCTAACTCCGCCCCTACCTCACTACCCCAACTTCACGTCCTCTATTATTATTTATTTAAAGGCCTATCCATTCTAATCTGTGTCTCCAAATGCTCATCACTGTGGGTCCATTCCCGGACCCACCCAGCATCACTCCGTTAGAGAAAACAGACTCTTCCCTTCCCAGGAGCTATTAGTTAAGAATATTTCCTCAGCTAGGGTCGGGACTTCCTGCTTACCTCCCACTTCATGCTGGGATTTTGTCTAGCATGGTTTCGTTCTTAAAAGGTGTTATTTATGCGTTTCAGGGGATTTACTTGTTCAAAGGCCACATGCCTATTTTAGCTATACTTCTATTACTCAGGGATGAGCACTTCTCTTTGTGTAGATCTGCTGATTCATCTTTCATCCTAATTAAACATATCTTGATTACATGGTAAACTCATTCTTCTCCCTTCCATCAACCTCAGCTTGCTATGGCAGTGAATCCTAAGTGGGAGAGAGAACAAACCAAACATACCTAGAGGGCACATCAGAATGTAGGGGACAGAGCCAGCAAGATGGCTCAGGGCTAAAGGCACTTGCTGTTGAGCCTTCTGATCTTCCAATCCCTGAAACCCAGGTAAAGACAGAAGGTGAGAATCAGCCCCACAAATTGTCCACTGATTCCTACATGTGCAACATGGGAATGAATGCTTACATATGCATGCACACAATAATAATAATAAATATTTTTAAATTTTAAAATTATGTAAGGTACAGAGGCTGTCTACAATGAAGTTAGGGATAGATGTCTATTTCTGTATTTTGTATGATTTCTAATGTTTGGGGCTAAAATACCCTTTAGGATTATGACTAAGTTAAAACTTGTATTATAATTTTATTAAATATCTGCACTTTTTTAACGATTAAAATTATGCTAAAGGGAGCTCAGTCTTAGAAAAGTTCCCTAATATCCATAAGGCACTGGATTCAGTGATCACAACCTCACGCAAAAATAAATGGTAAATAACTAAACAAATAAAGTGATGCTTATAAAGACCTTTCAATGCTATGGACAAGGGTCATTTGTATAAAATTTATAAAGTATAATAAACATAAGATATAAAGACTGCTGTCAAGATGGCTCATTGGGTACTGGTCCTTGATGCCAACCTTGAAAACTTGAGTTCAGTTCCTGAATCCCACAGGGTAGAAGGAGAGAACTTTTCGAGTTTTCTGTTGACCTCCTCAAGACCAATGTGGCATGCAACCCCCCTTCCCCATAAATAAATGAATACATGTAACACACATATTTTTAAAGATATAAAACAAGGCTATCTTCATATTTTAGTCTGATGCCATCTGAATACAACCGTCATAAAAGAAGGTGGTTGCTCCTGAGGAATATCACCCAAGGTTGACCTCTGGCTTCCACACACTCATGCTCAAGGTTCATATTCTCCCTTTCTCTCTCTCTCTCTCTCTCTCTCTCTCTCTCTCTCTCT